GGGAGAGCTGGGGTTTCCCGGGATTGACAGCAGGTTGGGTGACGTGGTTCAGGTTTCCCAAAATTGACAACAAAGCAGTTAGATGTTCCCAAAATTGACAACAAAGTAGTTGGATGTTTGGTTCAGTTTGGTTCAGTGATATGATTCTTCCTTAGGGTGGAAGAAGTCCTGGGTTCGATTCCCAGAACAGCCCGTCAATAACGTGGTCGAAGACTGGGTGGCGTCGACTGTGGTCGAGGCGCCTGGGATTCACGGCTCTCACTTTGCGGGCTTATCGGTCGGGACTCGGTGCATTCGTCTGGTAACCAGTTCGAGCGCGGATGGTGATCTGCAGGATGACTCGTATAGTTCGCTGCGGGGCAGCGAGACGGATAGTTCTTCTCCATCATCTCGCACACAAGTTTTTAGGAGAGAAGGATAATTTTTTGGAAAAAGAGAGAAAGGAGGACTAGGATGTAACGGATAGTTATAACGTTCAACCTCCTGTTAGAGACAACTAAAGGGTGAATGGGCATGTTGATTTGCCGTGCACCGACGAAGTCATTGCCACCTGTTTTTATGCTCCCTTTTCCTTTTCATACCTGCGACCTAAAACGACATCAATAAGATTCGAACCTGGGTCTTATCGCTCAGCTCAGCGGTATCTAATAGTCCGTAGGGCGACTCTCTAGTCCCCTACCAGACGCGGTGCTTGCCGGGGATGCCAGTGTATCCGTAGCAGCATCTAGCGTAGTGGTAGGAGTACCAGTTGAACATCTAGAAGTACCCGGTTCCATTCCTGGCTGTGACTCCGTTACGGTCGGGGCTCGAGCCTTCCATTACTCAGCTCCAGACCGACTCTGCCGGCAGTCCGGCGACGACCTCCCATTCCTTTCCCTTGGTGGCTGGATTGCGCTCTACGCCTCCACCAGGCTGAAAGCCAGGCTGGGTCTGCCGGGAACCACACCCGGGTCGCCTCGATGCCGACCACAAACGCTGAAGAAAGTAACAATACCTGCGGGTCGCGGGCCCACTACCAATCCGACCCTCACAGATAGTCCAAATAGAGAATAAAACGAAATGATTGCCTCCGTAGCCCAGTGGGATAAGCGTTGACCATAATATCTGCGGCGACCTAGAATACGGTGGGTAAAGTCCCGCTCCTGCCAAAAAAGGTAGAGCGTCTGACTGCAGGCAGACATTAAGTAGTCGTGGTTCGATTCCGACCCACGGAACTCACCGTGACGGGAGTTCGGGCCCCGCCCTCGGTTGTAATGATCCTTCGGTTTAGTGAATGTGGCGGGTCCGAGGTCAACAGTATCCCGAAGGTGGTACTTCTGGCCGGATTGCTCGCGTTAGTCTTACCGTGACCCGGGTTCTGCCCCGGTAGTCTAACAAAATGGCACCAAGGTCGGATCTAGAAAGGAACTTGGTCCGGCAAGTGCGAGCCAACCAACACAGACGGTCCAAATAGTGAAGGAACCGGGATGAGTGCCTCCGTAGGCCGATGGAGTGAGA